TCTCTCTCTCTCTCTCTCTCTCTCTCTCTCTCTCTCTCACACACACACACACACACACACACACACACACACACACACACTCACATACACAGAATGCACGCCTATCATTTCTTTTTTTCTCTAGAGGAACGGCAGCCGCTGGCGGAGGGGACTGCAGGGGAGCGCAGGCAGTGGTGCGCTCTTGGGGAAGCGGTGGCAGAGGGGGTAGAGGTGAGCGCTGGCGGAGGGGAGTGGAAAGGAGTGCAGGCGCAGGGTAGCACTGGCGGAGGGGAGTGGAAATGAGTGCAGGCGCAGGGGAGCGCTGGCGCAGGAGAGCGCTGGCGAAGGGGTGCGCTGGCGGAGCGGAGCAGAGGGGAGCACTGGCGTGAAGAGCGGCGGAGGAGGGGGTGGAGGGGCGGTGGATAGGTGGACATGGAGGAGCTGGGGTGCGGAGAACGGCGGAAGAAGGGGAAGGGCCAGAGCAGCAGCCGATAGGTGGAAGAGCAGCGGAGGAAGGGGGTGAGCGCAGGCGGAGGGGAGTGGCCGGAAGGGAGTGGAGGGGAGCGCTGGCAGAGGAGGGCGCTGGGGGGGGGTACACTAGTTGAGGGGAGCGAAGCGGAGCGCTGGCGGAGGGGAACGCAAGGAACACAGGTGGAGGGGAGCGGGTGGAGGGGAGCGTGCGGAGGGGAGTGTAGGGGTGCGCTGGCGGAGGGGAGGAGGGGAGTGGAGCCGAGCGCTGGCGGAAGGGAGGAGGGGAGTGGAGGGTAGCGCTGGTGGAGAGGCGGTGGATAGGTGGAGATGGAGGAGCTGGGGGGCGGAGAGCAGCAGAGGAGGGGGAAGGGCCGTAGGAGCAGCTGATACGTGGAAGAGCAGCAGAGGAAGGGGGGGAGAGCAGGCAGAGGGGAGCGGCCGGAAGGGAGTGGAGCGGAGCGCTGGTAGAGGAGGGCACTGGCGGGGGGTACGCTGGTTGAGGGGAGCGAAGTGGAGCGCTGGCGGAGGGGAGCGCAAGGAAAACAGGTGGAGGGGAGCAGGCGGAGGGGAGTGGAGGGGTGCGCTGGCGGAGGGGAGGAGGGGAGGGGAGCCAAGCGCCGGTGGAAGGGAGGAGGGGAGTGGAGGGTAGCGCTGGCGGAGGGGTGGTGGATAGGTGGAAATGGAGGAGCTGGAGGAAAGGGCGGCAGAGGAGAGGGAAGGGCCTGAGGAGCAGCTGATAAATGGAAGAGCATCAGAGGAAGGGGGGGAGAGCAGGCGGAGGGGAGCAGCCAGAAGGGAGTGGAGGGGAGCGCTGGCAGAGGAGAGCGCTGGCGGGGGCTGCGCTGGTTGAGGGGAGCAAAGCGGAGCGCTGGCGGAGGGGAGCGCAAGGAACACAAGTGGAGGGGAGCTGGTGGAGGGGAGTGGAGGGGAGCGCTGGCAGAGGGGAGGAGGGGAGTGGAGCCAAGCACTGACGGAAGGGAGGAGGGGAGTGGAGGGTGGCGCTGGCAGAGGGGAGGAGGGCAGTGGAGGGGAGCGCTGGCGGAAGGGAGGAGGGGAGTGCTGGCGGAGAGGAGGGGAGGGGAGTGGAGAGGAGCACTGGCGGGGGGGTTCGCTGGTGGAGGAGAGAGAAGGGGAGATGCTGGCGGAGGAGAGCGG